TAACCAACACTGCAGACTGCCTCCACCTGAAGGACCCCTACAGAACACTGTGTTGTGATGACGGGCGGGCCCCCCTCCGAGGAGAGTGTTGACAAACGACATTTAACGTTCACTCGGAAACTCACCCTCTTACCGACACGTTCCCGAAATGATCACACCCGAAGACGCGCGAGACGCTCCCTCACAACCATCTCCACCCAGCCGGTAGAAGAAGTGATAGACGGAGGAGTCATGATCTCCTGAACAACTAGCCGTGACGCCTCAGATGAAATGTCGGACAGACACAAAGCTTCCGCTCTCTGGCTGGAGCTAACAGCTCACAGAGAGGCGGAAACCTGGGAGAAAATAAGAAAAACACGATAAATTTAACATTTACCGTCTTTCTTACTTAAATATGTAACCTACGTTATCCGTGTGTTTACAGTTACAACTGTGTTGACATTGCAGGAAGCGTTCTTGGCCCAAAGGCATTATGGGTACTGTAGTCTAACAGCATTAGCTTTTCAGACGGCTTTCAAACAATGCACATAAAAATACTATATCAGTGTCAGACTAAAAAAATGTTGCCATTAAAATTTTTGACCTACATATATATATTATTATTAATTATTATTATTATTATTATTATTAATAATTTTCTATATGGTTTACTTTTGACTTGTTTTTTTCTTATTCTGATTCTTGAGAAGAATGTACAAAATACACAAAGAATGAAAATCATTTCATGAAGGAATCTCATGCCACTCTTCTTGCTAGAGTTTTAGACTATCTTGTGGTGAGAAATTACTCTAGCTGGTGAAATCTTGAAAATAACCTAATGCAACATTAAACCAAAAATGTCCATGCTCAATAATCCAGGTATACAATCCAACATTTTTCAGTCAGGTCATCTGGACAGTTTTTTTTTTTCTGAAACGTTTCACCTTCCATCCAGAAGGCTTCATCAGTCAAGGAAACACACAACACAAAACTGATTCTTCCCCCAAACAGCTTTCAAAGTGGAACAAACCAGAATATTGTGATATTGAGCATGATCTCATATCATTTGTAGTGTGTGTTTTGAATGACTGTCAGCTAGTACCAGTGGCGTAGTCCACATTTTTGTACTGTGCTTATAGAAACCAAAGTACACAATGTAATCGTCAGTTTATTTTGATTTTTAAGCATATTGAACATTTTAAAATGTATCTTATATTTGAATTAATGTACAACAAACTTTATACAACAGTTGACTTTGTGTTAAAACATGTTGTAGAATTTATAAAACAGTATCAAAGCAAAACATGTTCAAGTATTAAGTACAGAAGTATCAATTATACAAAAAAAACCTGTTGAAAATGTTCCAATGTGTTTGTTCTCAGGCTCCTCTAGTTTTATTCGTCTTCTTGTTTCTGTTGCAGAGCGGCGCTTTCTTAATTGTTACAAAACAATTAGGCCCATTCATACTGATCATCAAGAGATGACTTACATTTGACAACAATAGAAGACTTTTAAACGGATGGATGGATATTTTTTTAAATGTTTTCCTCACAATCTTAGAGTTTAACAAACCCATATAAATTCTTATTAGCTGAAGCCACAGCCTGGTTCAAATGTTTTTTACACATATCCAAATATTTTTGACATTATAAGTGATAATTCTGATACTTTGAAGCTGAAATCTGTGGAAAAAACAACTATTATACTGGATAAGCGAATGTAATAAGTGCTGCATACATACAGACTGTTACAGAAGTGTTTAACTGCGTTTACCATATCAATGGCATGTGTCTAATGATATGTCATGTATCATTGGGCACTTTTAAGTACATAATGGAATTCCCAGGCTTTTCTAGTGGGTATACTCAATACACCTGCGTATCATGTAGACTAGACCACTGGCTAGGACCATGCCCAAGTTTAGATTAGTCTGTAAAATCACTGAGGGATATTCATGTTGTGTAGGCCAGTATCAGTATCAGTGTAGTGACCATTTTGAATTGCAATGACCTAAAGTGGATCAGGTTTAGATTTTTAGCTAATGGTTACTTTGTGAGATTTTATTTGAAATCCATCCAATGGTTTCTGGGATGTTGTGCTAAAATCAGGGTTGATTCCAACAATTCATGTCAAGTTAAAGATGTTGTGCTCAAAATATGTGTTGGGCACCTTGCCCAGCTACTACCACACCAAATTTTACCTCAATATCTGTAAAACTGGCTGAGTTGTAGATCATTTAGTACCACTTTACAATAAGGCTCCCCTTATAGATGGCTAATAAACAGTTTATATATACGTTATTAATCCCTCTTATAAACACTTCATAAATCATTAATAATTGTTTATTATGCGTTAATTAAGGGTGATAAAGAGACAAAACTGAGCAGTTTCTTGCCAAACCTGCCACCTATATCATTTAGAGTTGTTATATTAAACATTTCACACTACGTTACTACCTTGTAAGCAAAATAAGCATTTGTAAACCTGTTTTTTTAGGATATACTATTAGTTGTAGATACTTATAATGCAGGGATAACATAAAGTATTATATGCTAAAGAAACAGGTTTGCAAATGCTTTTTGTGCTTACAAGGTATAACTTAGTCTGAAATGTTTAATATAACAACTCTAGATGAAATATAGGTGGCAGATTTGGCTCAGTTTTTGGCAAGAAACTGCTCAGTTTTGTCTCTTTCTTGCCCTTAATCAATGTATAATAAGCAGTTATTAATGATTTATAAAGTGTTCATAGAGCATTTAATAACGTATCTATAAAGTATTTATTAGCCATCTATAAGGGGAGTCTTATTGTAAAGTGGTACTGATAATTTTGTGTTTTCTAAGTTCTCTGTGGTGGTGACCTCGTATTAAGTAGATTTAGAAAGTTAACCAGTTGTACATTCAGTGATACATTATGAGAGTTTCATTAAATTATGTTTAGTTATATCTGAGATATGTAACTAACAATATATATTAACTCACACATGTAAATATGCACAGAGATGCAAACAAAAATCCTATCTCTCTGGCTTTACCTTTGGTGGCAGGCAATATAAAGGATATTTCCCAGATCACTGGTTCACACTATTCAGACATTGGGCATTTTGGTCCCACCGACTGTACTTATTTCAGCTCATAATCTGCAGCCCATCTGTCTGTCTATTGTTCGGGGTCATTGAGTAATCCAAAGTTCCCCCGTCGTGAAGATAAACTCAAGTTTGTGATTTTGCTTTAAATGAGCCAAAACTCTTGACATCCTGTGGCTTTCACTTATATAACAGCACATCAGAGTTCTGCGTGGGAACTTGCTGTGTCTCTCCTAAATGCACCTCTCCCTTCTCCAACACGTTCAAGGTGTAAGACTGAGTAAGTGCATTAGCTTAATCCTTTCTACCCAACATGCAGAGAACCGAGCAACATTTCAGTTAGTGCGTACATGCACCGAGAAAGAAGGATGAGGCTGCGCACACGATTCTTCTTCTCTTTATTCTAAAATGAAGAGCCTGCCTAATATCTAATACTCTGGGGGATTTGTAAAGGATGATGCTGAGATTCATCGTGCACGTGTGGATGCTCGGGTTAATTTATGCAGGTAACATTTAAATTCAGTGTATGTGTAGGGATAAAATGTCAAATATTTTGTAGCTAATGTGTTATAGATCCATCATTACAAGCTGCCTTGGTTTTTCTTTTTAGAAGTGTTTGAACATGTAACATGAGCAACAATACTTTAAAACAAACTAAAAATATTTTAAGAACATTTTAATGATACCAGTTCAGCTACAGCCTGAAATTCCAACTCATATCAACTTTCTTCTCAAAAACTGAGTATTATTTTAGGACACCTATTTGTAATAATCTAAGGGACCCCACAGTGAGTTGGATGATTTTTAGAAACAAAGAAAAAAAGATAGCTAATTTTGCTGTTTGTCATAGTTGTTATAAAAAGAGCTAAAGTTTGAGAGATAAAATACATTGTTATGAGTCAATAAAACAACATAATGGTGTGTTTTGTCATTAAACTTTTGTTTAATTGACCTAATTGAAATTGAAATATTTATTTATACAGGTTAGTCTCATTGAGCCTCGAGGACTCATTTACAAGACAGACCTGATTTTTACCAAGAATGATGACAACAATGGACAATCTTGAAAGAAGGCATATAAATTGAAAAAAATAAATGGAAGAAAATAATGTTAGTAAAAAATTAAAAAAAACAGCTAGGTTGTAAAGTCATGTAGAAAACTAAAATCAGGAACATGTCTGCGTTGGTTTTTGCCAAGAACTTAACATATGTTTGAAGCCACTTAGAGAGGTCAAGGTCGAGACCTTCAGATCTTTTTGTAAGATATTCCAGGAGTTCAGTCCTCACTGAGGGAACACTGCAGGTAATAATCTCCTGGGAGCGCACGCTGTAGCTGCACTCACGCAGAGACATGTAGGAGGAGATGTATGAAGGCAGCAGACCAAGAAGTGATTTTAATGATGAAAATGTCCCAGTGAGAGAGTCTGCGTGAAGTTAATGATGTCCAGTTAACCAGTGAATAGTGTGCAGTGGTGGGTATGGTAGTTCCAGCCAGTTATGAATCTTAATGCACTGTGATAGACAGTATCCAACATCTGCAGAGTTCTTGTAGGAGCGTTCATGTAAATAATGTCACCGTAGTCAAAAGCATACTTTGACCCAGGACAACGGGTTTGTGCCACAGTTATTTTCATTTTTAATTTCAATTCAGTTTATTTCTATAGTGCCAAGTCACAACAGAAGTTGTCTCAGCATTTTGTTGATATTTTTTTTTACCTGGATCATTGAGCATGAACTTTTATGTACAAGTGTAAAATTTATCAGAATAAGAAAAGCTTGTTTGCAACAAGATTTGGATAAACAACTCAAAAGTTTGTGTGTAACATCAAAGTCTGAGTTGAGTTGTTTTGTGGCAAAATCTTCAAAAATCATAAAACTTAAACTGCGTATATGTAAAAACTATTCTTAATATCAAAATGGCTCTTTAATCATATAACGGCCAACTTTGTGTGACACGCTGTGTGTATGTGCAAGGTTGTTGCTATTTTCACACAATTTGTATGTATTTTATGTATGAATATTTCCAAAACTTGTATTGTTGTTGTTATTTTCGTCTTTCGGCTGCTCCCTTCTTCAGGGGTCGCCACAGTGAACTAAGTTGCACAAAGATTTGGCAATTGTTTTTACGCCAGATGCCCTTCCTGACGCAACCACAGTCCTCTGTGTGGAGCAGAGAGCTGCCATCTAGGGCGCCTGGAGCAAGCTGGAGGGTTAAGGGCCTTGCTCAAAGGCCCAGAGTGAGGCAAATGAGGGTGGAGGCAGGTGTGGGTGTTTCACCTTTCCCACCCACATTTTGATGTTTTCTGTACGGGGAGTTGGACCGGCGACCTTCCGATCACAGGCCCACTTTCTCTAACCTCTGCACCACCACTCCCCTTTTCTTTCCAAAGCTTGTGTACTGAATCAAAAATGTTTACGTATCAGTAAAATTATTATCCCGAAATACCGCTGACTTGGTCGTTGTCCCTACAGGAGCACTGAACAGTGAGGACGTCGGTGGATGTGAACAACAGCCATGCCAAAATGGTGGTGTGTGTGAAAGCCATGACGGAGGATTCCGATGCCTTTGTTCACAGCAGAGCCAAAACGGGCGCCTGAACGTTGGGGAGAACTGTACACTTGCACAGTCGGTCTGTGACGAAGGCCAGTGTGAGAATGGAGGAGTGTGTTCTTCTTTGCTTGTAAATGATCAGCGCACATATGCATGCATCTGCCTTCCAGGCTACACTGGGCCTAAATGTCAGACTTCCAGCATCTTCTCATTTGAGTCCCATGGCTACATGTTCATTGAGACACAGCAGCTAGACTCAGAAGCTCCACTTAATTTGACTTTCAGCTTCAGGACAGAGAAGCTGACCGGTATTCTATTTCAGCGGAGAGTGGACAACCTGCTGCTCAGCATTGAGCTGATGGATGGACGTCTCTGCCTCCTCAGTCAGAGAGGACAAGGCTCCAGCACTCTGGTTCAGGAGCTTCCTGAGTATTTGTCCAACAGCAAGTGGCACACAGTGGAAGCATTCGTGGGTGGCGTGGTCAGTCTCATCAGGTTACTGTGCACGGAGGGAAGCTGCACCAGAGACTCCAGCACTGAAGTCCAGCTGCTTGACCAGGCTGCTGCTCTTCCAGAGCTGGGAGCTGTTCGTCAAAGCCTCTTCATTGGAGCAGTCAGAGGGAACTGGACTTTAGGCAGACCTGAGGGTAGAGCGGACAACCTGCCTGCTTTTTTGGGCTGCTTCAGAGATGTGTTTGTTAACTCTTATCTGGTGCTGCCCGTTGAAGTGCCAAAAGATTCACGCACCCAGGTAAACATCACAGCGGGGTGCAGCGACAAAGACAAGTGTGATGACAGTCCATGTCAGAACCGAGGGCGCTGTGTCCGCCAGGGCTGGAGGAGCTACATCTGTGAGTGCCACCGACCATATGAGGGACACGACTGTGCAGAGGGTAAGACAAAAACTTATATGAATATGATTTTAATATTAAACTATGTTGGATTTTTTTTTAAATAAACTACTCAAAGCAGTAGTTCATATCTCAAAAATGTCATAGTGGTTCATGAAAACTATTTTTTTTTTATCTTTTGCTGTTATTTTGCGTTGCACAGTTATTTATATAGACTCTTGTGATTATTTCTAAGCAGAACCAAAAAGCGGCAGCTAGCAGTAGCACTTCACATGCAGCCTGGAGCATTTCTGTCATTAATAGCACCTTATTTCAGGCAGAGTAACCATATAGTGCAAAACTTATGGTAGAGTAAAAGTTTTAAAATAGCTTTTGCATGAACAACCATGAAATATTTTGGATTATAGTCACTTAAGACAACAGCAATCGTTTACAATTAAGGTGGCTCAGTTGGTAGAGCTGTTGCCTCTCTGTGAGAAGGTCGTCGAATCCCAGCCGGGGCCTTTCTGGGTGGAGTTTGCATGTTCTGTCCGTGCATGTGTGGGTTTTCTCCGGGTACTCCGGTTTCCTCCCACAGACCAAAAACATGCATGTTAGTCTGACCGGTAACTCTAAATTGTCTCTAGGTGTGAGTGAGAGAGTGAATGGTTGTTTGTCTCATTTGTCTCTATGTGGCCCTGTGATGGACTGAAGACCTGTCCAGAATGTCTCCTGCCTCTTGCGCAATGACTGCTGGACATGGACACAAGTGATCCTCGTAACCCTAAAAGGAAGAATCGGGTAAAGATAACGGATGGATGTTTTAAATCTAACTAGCCTTTTTTCCATCCATTCAGTCAGAATTGTTTTTCATTTCATTATATTTGCAGATGATACTAGCATTTTCTGCACTGGAGATAACATCCAACAACTCTCCGAGGTGGTCACAACAGAAATGAAAAAACTAAAACATTGGTTCAAAAACAATAAATTATCACTAAGTTTAGATCAAACAAAATTCATGATATTTGGAAACCACAATAAATATGAAAACAATGCAATCAAAATAACTATGGATAGTGTTGATTTAGAACAAGTCCATGAAATCACATTTCTGGGTGTTATACTGGATGATAAATTTTGCTGGAAACCACAGATCTGCAAAGTGTTGCTGTATTGATGAGAGTGAGCTTTGGTCTGGCCTACAACTCTCTGTTTATTCTATATAATACACTCATTGTACCATATCTGAGTTATTGTGTGCAAGTTTGAGAATACATACAAAACAAACTTGCAGTCACTGTACACAATACAAAAAAAACCAATCAGACTATTACATAAAGTGGGATATTGGGAACATACAAATCCATTATTTTTTAAATCAAATGTAATGAAATTCTGAGACTTTGTAAAATTCAAAACTATACAATTTATGTTCAAAGTCAGAAACGGTCAACTTCCACACAGTATTCAAAAAATGTTTTGTGACAGAGTGGGATTATAATTTAAAGAAATTAAAAATAATAATAATAATAATGTATCAGAACAACCAAAAACAGTTTTTGTATATCAGTGTGTGGAGTGGATTAAATGATGAGCTCAAATAAATTACAAATATAAACCAGCTTAAAAAAAACAGTATAAAAATGAGCTTTTTGAAAAATATGTTGTACAGGATGGGAGTTTCAAAGACCAAAAATGCTATTGCTGATATTAATCATGTGTAAATAATTGTACATTCAACGATGAGAATGTGAGGTTTAAGCATCATTTAATGTGGGAGTATTATAAGGATTATTTGGTGTGGGGAGACTAAAATGATTGTATATTGATGATGTGTATGACAGGGGCAGGAAATCATAAGATTGTTATCTTCTACCTGCTCCTTTTCGAACAAATTGTGTAAAATTGCATGTCAATTGGCATGAATGTTTTTTATTCTTTTTTTGTTTTTACTTTATATTGTCTGTTGGAAATAAATAAATTTCCACAAACTGAGGCCTTTCAAAAAGCTATCTTTGAATGACCTCATCTAAAATCAAATTAAGGGAAACTAAAACTGTTGTTCAAACCAAAGTAATACTGCATGGACATTTAAAGTTAAGGCTGAAGACATGGTTACGAGTTAGTTGTACAATATATTGGGAATGTCAGATGTTTACTGTTATGTAATGATGTGTACTGTAATTTCTGGATTATTGAGCGCACGCAAAAGTCGCGCCCACTAAATTTAAACAACAATAATAATTTTGTACATACAGTGCCTTGCAAAAGTATTAGCCCCCCTTGAACTTTTCAACCTTTTGCCACATTTCAGGCTTCAAACATAAAGATATAAAATTTTAATTTTTTGTGAAGAATCAACAACAAGTGGGACACAATCATGAAGTGGAATGAAATTTATTGGATGTGTCAAACTTTTTTAACAAATAAAAAACTGAAAAGTGGGGCATGCAATATTATCCGGCCCCCTTGCGTTAATACTTTGTAGCGCCGCCTTTTGCTGCAGTTCCAGCTGCAAGTCTCTTGGGGTTTGTCTCTATCAGTTTTGCACATGGAGACACTGAAATTCTGCCCATTCTTTCATGCAAAACAGCTCGAGCTCAGTGAGGTTGGATGGAGAGCGTTTGTGAACAGCAGTCTTCAGCTCTTTCCACAGATTCTCGATTGGATTCAGGTCTGGACTTTGACTTGGCCGTTCCAACACCTGGATACGTTTATTTGTGAACCATTCCATTGTAGATTTGGCTTTTTATTTTGGATCATTGTCTTGTTGGAAGATAAATCTCCATCCCAGTCTCAGGTCTCTTGCAGACTCAAACAGGTTTTCTTCCAGAATGGTCCTGTATTTGGCCCCATCCATGTTCCCATCAATTCTGACCAGCTTCCCTGTCCCTGCTGACGAAAAGCAGGCCCAAACCATGATGCTGCCACCACCATGTTTGACAGTGGGGATGGTGTGTTCAGGGTGATGAGCTGTGCTGCTTTTACGCCAAACATATCTTTTTGCATTGTGGCCAAACAGTTTGATTTTGGTTTCATGTGACCAGAGCACCTTCTTCCACATGTTTGGTGTGTCTCCCAGGTGCTTGTGTCAAACTTTAAACAACACTTTTTATGGATATCTTTGAGAAATGTCTTTCTTCTTGCCACTCTTCCATAAAGGCCAGATTTGTGCAGCGTACGACAGATTGTTGTCCTATGGACAGACTCTCCCACCTCAGCTGTAGATCTCTGCAGTTCATCCAGAGTGATCATGGGCCTTTTGGCTGCATCTCTGATCAGTCTTCTCCTTGATTGAGATGAAAGTTTAGAGGGACAGCCGGGTCTTGGTAGATTTGCAGTGGTCTGATACTCCTTCCATTTCAATATGATTGCTTGCACAGTGCTCCTTGGGATGTTTAAAGCTTGGGAAATATTTTTGTATCCAAATCCAGCTTTAAACTTCTCCACAACAATATCTTGGACCTGCCTGGTGTGTTCCTTGGTCTTCATGATGCTCTCTGCACTTTGAACAGAACCCTGAGACTATCACAGAACAGGTGCATTTATACGGAGACTTGATTACACACAGGTGGATTACGCACAGGGGCACAAGTTCCCTTCCCGTTCTCTCCTCCACTCCTCGTTTCATTGGTCCACTGTGAACTGTTTGGTAATTTCATCGGTCAGATTTTTTTAAAGCTTTATTTATACAGGTAGTCTCGTTGAGTGACGAGGACCCACCCCCCTCCAGGAGAGATGTGTATTGGGCAGCTATGTGAGTGCCGGGGTGTGATGAGACTAAATGTTTTGGTGGCAGGAAGCTCGTTAGCCCGTCAAAAAACAAAAATCCATAAATTAGATGCAGCGTTGTATAAGCCGCAGGGTTCAAAGCGTGTGAAAAAAGTAACGGCTTATAGTCCGGAAATTACTGTATTTTTTCTCATTATGCCACACTAAGAAGCAGTGTGTTTAGATATGGATGGATGGATGGATGGATGGATGGATGGATGGATGGATGGATGGATGGATGGATGGATGGATGGATGGATGGATGGATGGAGGATGGACGGATGGATGGACGGATGGATGGACAGATGGACGGACGGACGGATGGAAGGATGGAAACCAGAGTACCCAATCAATCAATAATCAGTTCAGTCAGTTCACAACGCCTGCACCAAGGATTTAAAAAACGTGTATATCATCGGTTGACCTTAAATTCTCTCAGCCAAATCAGGGAGTCTTAAAGGCTTGCACCATGCTGAGGCGTTTAACTCAGTCAACAAGTTTAGCAGCTTCTTCTGTCAATGACCACAGTTTTCTTGGTTTAAGAAAACCTGTCAACCAAAGCTTCTGATGAATTCATAAATAACCTGCAGTGCCTAACACTGATAACTGCATATAAACCTGTTGTTTTGCTTTGTTCACAGTCAAATTTGGGAAATTCACAGAAGGATTTTCTGATGCATCGTGTGTTATTTATGATGACATCACTCATTATTATACTAAAAATGACTACAGTGCAGTTTATAAAGCTGTTAAAAGCTACAAGTAGTCAAATATGAGTGATTTTTTATTTTTATTTTGCAGTATCATTAGTTATCTTTAAATCTGCTAACATGCTTTTAGGACAAAAAATAGATTTCCAGTCTTCAAGCACAGTTAACATTCTGCTTGTACCACTTATAATTCAAGAAACAGATTTAAAAACTTTCGGTAATACATTTTGAAGGTGAAGTATTGAAGCACTCTTGATAATATTTGGTCAATATTTCTCCATTTCTGTCACAATTTTCAGTTTGCTCCTCCTCTCACAATGGTGGACACATCCAAACATGTTTCTGATCAAGAACAGTGTGCTTAGAAATTCATTACCAGTATTTTGTAAAACATGAACAAAATTAGCAGCACAAACGAGTTGAAAATCCACATATCCAATAAGATTTTAGCAGAAAAAATGAGAAAGACTTACGTCATAAAAGATACATTATCTGAAGCATAAAGGATACAGTTACATTTTAGGTGACTAACATAATTATTTGATTTATGATTTTTTTTAAATATTTTTCCACAGACTGTTTAGTTCGGAGTGTGATGATGTCATGTTAACATTTGGGCTGTCTAAAGCAGTGGTTCCCAACCCTGGTCCTTGAGGAACACCATTCTGTGTGTTTTAGTTGTTTCCCTGCTTTGACACAACTGATTTGAATCAATGGGTGACTAACAGGCTTCCGTACAACTTGATGACATCACTGAATCAGGTGTGTTGGAACGGGGAAACAACTAAAACATGCAGGATGGTGTTCCTCAAGGACCAGTTTTGGGAACCACTGGAAAGTATCCAAAAGCTTTGCAAACTCTTCTCATTTACACAAACTTTACACTTCTTTTACAGTTCATTCCTCAAAAATGTTGGTATGACTATTACAAAATGAAGTCCCAAATTATCACTTAGCTTAAATGAAAAATTGCTCTAGTTTTATTTATTTTATTTAAACACATTTTTCACTTGACCTTCAAAGAGTTTTCTCTTCTCTATCCTTACAGAGTACATCACTGCCAGGTTTGGAAAAAGAGACCTCAAGAGCTTTGCTGAATTTTCATTAGACAATGACCCTGGTGACCCTGTGACCATCTCCTTGTTCATTCGCACCAGACAGTCCAACGGCCTGCTCCTCATCCTGGCCAACAGCACCAGCCAGTACCTCCGCCTATGGCTGGAGGAGGGCAAGGTCAAAGTTCAGGTCAACAACTTTGAGTCCCTTGTTGGTCAAAATGTGGTCAGTGATGGCCATTTCCACCTAATTACTGTGAAATTGGAAGCAACAACAGCCATTTTGTTCCACTCAACTCAAATCCAGGGTCTTATGACCATCAGGCATGTCCAAACCCATCCTGGAGATGTGTTTTATGTTGGGGGACTACCAGACTCAAGGGCCACCGCTTCATTTGGGGGCTACTTTAAAGGATGTGTCCAGGATCTAAGGATTAATAGCAAACGATTGCAGTTCTATCCAATAGAAACTCCAGTGGAGTCTTACCCCTTAGTGAAACTCGTAAATGTTACAGAAGGCTGCAGCAGTGATAATGCCTGTGCGGTGAGTTAATATTTTAGCCATGTTAATAGTTTTATCTAAGAGAAACCAATTGCACAGTGTAATTTCTGTTTTTCACTTTCAGGTCAACCCTTGTCTAAATGGGGGTGAGTGTTACTCTATGTGGGATGATTTCATCTGCAGCTGCCCCACCAACACTGCAGGGCAGCGGTGTGAACAGGTGAAATGGTGTGAGCTCTCCCCCTGTCCTGCCACTGCTGTTTGTCAGCCTCTCTCCCAAGGATTTGATTGTAAGTGTCTTCAGGCAAGAAGAACCTGTTGTATATTTCCAGTTTGAGTGAACCACTGTCTGGAAATACATTTACAAAGAGTCCTTAAGGTTTTATAAAAAAAAAAAAAAAAAGCTTTCTGTGTACATCTTGAGTTTTTATTTACTGACCTGAGAACTCCTGAATGGCAGCAGATTTTAATTATGTTGGGGCTAATTACAGAAGGGAACAGAGTTGAGACAAGGATCCTTCGCAGGAGTCTTCTAAGACGCGGTAATCCCTGGTCAGATTACGTCTAGTAGCACGTGTCTGTGGCAGTTCATGATGACAAGTTTGCCTGGAGAAGTCACGGATTCATAAGGTGTTAAGGAGGGAAGCTATCGAATCACAGCAGCCAGTCCATTAGTAAACAGAATTGTTGGGTTTTTTAAAGCTCAGCATCCTCTACTGTACAATATAACAAAAGCTCTAAAAGTTTAGGTTGTGTCAAAGCTAAAATAGTTTGGCATTATTCCTGCCCACGAGAGGTTTTCATAATGCATGTCCTAACAATATTTAATGACCACCTCCATTTCTTGAGGTGGGAGGAGCTTGCTGGGTAATTTGTGTAATATTACAAAACACCATGCACAAGTTAATTTAACAATTTTTACATCAGAACACGTTGAATGAAGTTGGAGTGTTTCCTCCACATATTCCTAAGAGCTGAGTTTTTAAGAATTAGACTTTTTTTATAATAAACAGTCCCAAAATATAGTTTGTGTTGTGAGAATCTGAGTTTATTCATTCAACTTTTACTTATACAGGTTTAGTTTCATTGAGCCTCAAGGATTTACAAGAGAGGCCTGTCTTAACAAAGAATGATGACAGCAGTAGACAATCATAAAACACCATTTAAATTGGAAAAATAAATGGAAGAAAATTATATTACAAAACTAAACAAAAACAGCTGCATTATAACGCAGTATAAAATACTAAAAACAGGAACATGTCTGCGTTGGTTTTTCCCATGAACTTCAGAATCAGAATCAAAATAAGCTTTATTATCATTGTACTGAGATAAAGTGAGATTATGTTCGTAGTCGTCCGAAAGATGGGCAGAGTGCAACTTAGCAGATGTTTGAAGCCACTTAGAGAGATGGAGAGCTTCAAATCTTTTTGTAAGATATTCCAGGAAACAGGAGCGGAGTAGGAGAAGACTCTTTTGCCTAGTTCAGTCCTCACTGAGGGGACACTGCACGTAATAATGTCCTGAGAGCGCACGCTGTAGCTGCACTCATGCAGAGACATGTAGGAGGAGATGTATGAAGGCCGCAGACCAAGAAGTTATTTAAAGATGAAAATGTACCAGTTATACAAAAAAATTACAAAAAAAGCAAAAAATAAAATAAACAAGTTTCGCAATCCAAAAAAAATGTCATCCTAATGATCTTCTTTGACCCAGTAGAAGTTTGAACTGGTGTGATTCATTAAAATTTCTGGCTGCTTGTATTTCTCGTTTTTACATGAGTTGCTATGTTCGGCACAGTCGGATAGCAACTCTTTCACATCGGGTGTGTATGCACCAGCCAGTAACAACTGGCAAGAATCATAAAAACAAATTCCAAAAACACTAAAACGTAAAGTTTTTATTGACAGGAAGTTGAATTTAGCCCCCAAATTAAGTTTATGTAAAGTGAATGTGTAAAATAAGTCAATGCAGTACTTTCCCATGCTAGGCTTGTATGGATTTGTGCGGGAGAAGGTATGTATTTGCAAATATGTATTGTTTCTCTTTTTTATTGTTTTGTTCTCTAACTCACACTCAGGTTCTAATTCTTTTTCTAAAGAAAAACAGCCACCATTATGACAGCATTAATATCCAGAAGTACAAGCTCATACTGCTGGTTTTTAAGATTGTACTGAAATGTTTCAAGCAGATTGAGTGTCTGTCTGACAGGAACAAGTGAAATAACATAATTCTAACCTAAAAGTAAAAACACAATTCTTTGAACAAACCAAACTGTCTGAGCGGGGGACACACTGGGTCTGATCATCCTCAGCTGAGCCTTCCTTCAATAAGGGCTGGCAGAAACACCCCACAAACCTGTGTTCCCATACTGAGGATGTGTTCCAGCCGTCCTCCATTGCAAGAGTTGGGGGTTCGATTCCACCAGCAGTCACGTGCCAAAGTGTCCCTGGGCAAGACACTGAACCCCTCATTGCCTCTGATGTGTAACCCATCAGTGTATGAATGTGATAAAGCACTGATTATTCTCTGTATAGACATAGTAGAGTGCTGTATGAATGGGTAAATGAGGACACAGATTGTAGTGTAAAGAGCTTTGAGTATCTTGGTAAGATAGAAAGGTGCTATATAAGTACAGTCCATTTACGGGTACATATTTTACTGAGACTTGCACCACATACACTACAAACTTGGCTCTTCTTCCCCACAACTGAACACAAATTTGGGACAACTTGAATCAACTTAACTATACATTTTTTTGTTAGCAGGTCTTTTAAAGATGACACAGTATGTACTACCACATTGGTTGAACATTGGCCCATAGTTTCCATAATATTCTGTGTTGCAGGGCTGTTTCAAGTACTTTCCATTTGGAAACAAAAATGTATTATTTGAACCACTTGCCTTTTTACGTTCCCCTCCTTTTAGTCATTACATCTTGAATCAGCTTAAGATAGTCTGCAGCTTAACTTGTGATACCAAAATCAGAATCAGAATAAGCTTTATTATCATTGCACTGAGATACAACAAGAACATGTACGTACAGTCGTCCAAAACATGGGCGGAGTGCACAAAGCTGCTACTATAAAAGTGTGGCCTTTCTTATTCTTGTTCAGAATAATATTTTTGCTTATATGAGAAAAGAGAAGAAAACATGAGGAGGGACGGTATAAAAAAAAAAAGATCTCTCACACCTTGTCTTAGTCAGGGCACGATTTGAGGTATCAAAAAAACCTACCACAGCATAGCACATAAATAGACGTTATACATGTACATATAGACCGGTGAAGTCATTGAATTTTAAGGGAAGGTCGTAGCATAGTCCAGAGCCCTCCCTCTCAGCCATTGTCCAGATAAGAGGTGTTAGTTATCATCAGCTCGGTTGAGGTTTCGTCACATGTTCACGGCCTTGGGGACGGGAGGGGTGAGGAGACAGACAAAGCATCTTTGCTTATTCTAAACATGCCAGGAGCTAAGATAAGTCTGCCATCAAGGCCACAGTTTGGATCCGGCAGAACTCGTAATTTGTTGTTTCTGCCATTTAAAAGTCTTGCTGGTACAGTTCTCTGATGAAAACTCCAAATAGTCAAATTCATTCCTTACGCCGAAAGTCGAGCTCACACCTTTCTCCAAGATTATTCCCACCATTCATGGGTGCTGCCAGAAAGTTCTCAGTCCTGATAACAGCGTGCACCAGCTCCCTGACGCAGCTCCACATAATTCAGTCTGAATGCTGCCAAGCTTCGACACATCCACACAAATTTGTCGACAATCCTGATTTCACCAACCAAACAGCAGAATTCTAGTTGTCATTATGAATCCAATTTGTCTCCATCGAGGGTCCTCTGTACCCTGACTCCTGTCGGGAGAAGTTGATCAATTTTGTCGAGAGACCTCTAATCAAGTCCTTTGAATTAGGAAGGTATGCAGGAAAAAAAAAAGGCTCTTTAAGGGTTCACAGAATGAGAGAGTGCAAGCAGGGAAGCGGGGGACGGAGCACCAGGAGACACGTCTGACTTCACCGGAGTACAGAGAGAGAAAAAATGTCATCTGAACACCACCAGTGGTACTTTAGCGACCCATGGTACTAGACTAAAATGTTAAGACTGTTCAGTTACAGGAAACTAAAGTAAAATACACTAAGCTACAGTATAAAGTTTATGAAGAAATGCTATTCAAATGCTATGTCAACTTTTATTGACATGTTCGTTGACATCAAATTTCTTACTTTAGGTTTGTTCAACGTGACATTTCGACATGAGAACAGTATTCTGCAGTACCTCGGTAACGGAAAGATTAAGCACAACCTTACCAGTGTCTCCCTCAGCTTCCGCACCAGACAGTCAGTAGCAACTCTGTTTCATGCACAAAAAGAGACCAGCTACCTCACAGTCTCTCTACTGAACTCTCATTTGGTCATGGAGCTCAAATCTGGAGCTGACGTGGATTCTCCCAAAGTGGCAGCTCAAAGTCTTGGTCTACTCAGTAATGGAGAGTGGCATACTGTTGAGATCAGCAAACAGACTCAAGCATCCACCTGGATCATTGATGTAGATGGAGGCAAAGAGAAGATCAGCATTTCCAAAACAGCTGTAGAGGACTTTAACTTCCTCAAAGATGGAGCAGACATTTTTTTGGGAGGTTTAAGCCAGGAATCTGGGGTGAACCTGTCTGGCTGTCTGGGCCGAGTAGAGATTGGGGGTCTTCTTTTACCATTCTACCTGGACACAGAGTTGAACCTGCCAAGACCACAGGAGGAGCAGTTTGTGAGGATAAATGGTAACGCCGCTCTGCAGTACGGCTGCTGGGGAACCAGGGTATGCACACCCAACCCATGCCAGAATGAGGGGACCTGTGAGGACCTGTTTGACCTCCAACAGTGCAAGTGTAGTCCTGAGTGGACAGGGTCATTGTGTCAAGAATCAACAGACTCCTGCAGCTCCAGCCCCTGCATCTACGGCAACTGCACCAACCAACCTGAGGGGTTTAGGTGTGAGTGTGAGTTTGGCTTTACTGGTGAACAGTGCGAAGTAGAAGTTGATATGTGTGAAAACAGCAGCTGCAGTTATGGTGCCACATGCCTCAAAGGTTTCCAGAGCTACACCTGCCTCTGCCCTCGGAACATGACGGGCCATTACTGCGAGTGAGTTTGTACTCCAACCCCAGAGACAGCACACATTTAAATTAAAAAGCAAGATTTAAATGGAAGTTGTACTTATTTACTAATTTTTCTTTTACAGTGAGAACATTCCTGAAATTCCTTGGTACATAGAGGCCGACCCGTGAGTGCTTTTATGTTTAAAATAACCGTTTCTACAAACCCTATTAAATATTTGGAGGGAACTGATGCTTTTTTTGTCTGTGTAGACTCCCTCAGTTGCCCATGTCTTCATGCATGGGTACAAGATGGAACTACAGCTGCTTTAATGGAGGAAACTGCTCTAAAGCAGACAGCACATGTTACTGCCTGCCTGGCTTCACAGGACAATGGTAAGACATGTGCCACGACATTTAATGTTTCCTGCTGCACTGACAGTAAGTAACTAAGAGCTGCACATAAACATAATATATGAGTATATATATATATATATATATATATATATATATATATATATATATATATATATATATATATATATATA